AATGTTTTTAAGGGGAAAAAGAAGTCTCAAAAGTCTGATGGAATGTTCATGACGCAAGACGAGTTGGAGCAGTTCAGGAACTCTGTCCTTAATGACGCGTTCACCATGTACACGCAACGACTTCCCCAGCTTCTTCAGTCTCTTGGAGTTCAAGTGTCAGGCAGCATTGAGAACATTGCCAACATTTCGCAACAATTGCCCATGTCTAAACCACAGTTTCAGCAGAGCAGCAAGGCTTCGGTAGATCCTGACCCATTTGCAGACCTTACTGAGGTAAACCTTTTTTATATGGACAAATTTATGTTTTAAAGTCATATTTATTAAACTTGTGTGTTCTCATTTTTTGAAGATGACTCGTTGCCACATGAGTATTACTGATCCTATTGATGCCATAGTGGCACGTGGATCAGTATTCCCGTGTTCTCCAGGAGTGTCCCTTCACAATGCTCCCCTCCCATACGACCATGTCAAAGTATCTGTGGATGTGGTGCTTGATGGTATGGGGGACTATCCTATACCGACTCCGACGGATGAGCACACCACTGTTTCTTCGACTTTGGGGAGGACCTCACAAACATTGAGATCTTGATAGAACCTTGGGCACTAGGCTATGCAGAGGAGAGGGTGTTCAGCATTAATCCTGAAAACATCAAGGAGTTCTTGCGATGGGATATGATCGATAATAGCATCGTCGAGATCTTTATGAGGTATACTTACATCTTAATTTTAGACACTCAATTAGTTATGTATTCACGTATAATGAGTTATGTATTTGTATCTGTGTGTATGACTTATCTACAATGCACATATATATTATACTATTCGAAGACACTTGTATGGCTACATGAGGACCCACGACATTCAGAATGTCGGGTTAGTGTGTCCGGACGATCTCCAGCATATGGTAAAAAATGGAAACCGTAAACCAGTGGAAAGGATGTTGCTAGATCATAAAGAAAAATCTTGGGTTCTTCTTCCATTCTTCTGTGAGAGAACGTATGTAATCTATACTTGATTTTATAACCTATTATGGTTAGTAGATTTTTTTGGTTTATAATTAAGTAATAAGGTTTTGTATTAATTGCAGACATCATTATACATTGATAGTAATACGTTATTATGAAAATAAAGTGCATTACTTCAACTCAGCATTGGGGACGGGGACTTCCAAGAATCTTACACTGAAGAGTTACATAAACGAGTAAGTGTATATTATCTTTATTTTATGCAATTGCTATTTGAATTGTGTTTTCTCATGTATTACTCAAATGATGGTTACTTATTTTAAAATTTGATCGAAGAGCTTGGAGGATCCTTCGAGTACAGGGGATGG